GCAAACGGAATAGTGGCACTGTCTGTCGAGGCTCCCCAAACAACCAAAAATGCACAGACCAGGCCCTCGGGCCGACAGGATTCGATGAGACGTCATCCAGCCTCCAGCCAGTGTGCGGATCCACGCCCACGCCCACGAGGGCGGGACCGTGGAGAGAAGGGCGCGGGTCGGCTCAAGATCTACCTCATCAATCTCCTCAGCTCGCTCAGGCCACCACTTTTTCAGACGCTCACGAAACAGAGTGACAAGCACGGCTCTCGGGAACGTGTCATAGCACGCCTGATACGCAGCTCTCTGGACCTTCCGCCGGGGTCGGGCATCACGGGCAGTTTTGGCAGCGCGGGATGCAACAGCAGCAAGATGATTTCCAGTGCCTCTAGCCGCCTCCTCCCAGAACTCAACGAACGCCTTGCATTTCCAGTGACTAGGGTATTTCCCATGCTCGGGGACGATGGTCAATCGGCAGTTATCTTTCGCCTCACCCTCAGCCGTGCATTTTTCAAGCCAAGCAAGTACCACTCGGAAGTCGGGGACAATCTGGAGCGCCATCCGTGCCAGCGCCGCCGTCGACAAGGGTAAGAGAGTGGTGACACCAGGACCGTTCCATTCCGCCAAGGCCATCCAAGCCGGCGCGCTGAAAGTGCCGAGAGGGACCCTGAACGCGGAGGCGAGGGCACCGAGCTCCAGCTGCAGCGCTCGACGTGGGAGAGGAAGATATTGCACGACATAGCTTAGGACAGGAAGAGAGCGGGTTTGATAGAGTCGTCCTGATACCGATGTCGCCTGAGTCCCCTGGCCGATCGCTTTTGCCCTGGATTGGCATTTGGCACACGGCTCAGTCCCGGGGTCGTCCAAACGCGCCCCAGGTCCGACCCACATCCCAAGATAAAAGAGTTTATCACTGATCTGGAAGGCCGACCACGATGGCGGCACAAGCTGGATATATGCACGGATGCGCCCCTCGATCTCTGGCGCGAACTCCGACGCCACTGGAACGATGAAACACTTGGCCGCCGTCAAACACAGGTGCGCAACCCGAGCCGAGACAGACGTGACACGAGCGAGTGGACGTAGGCCTTGCAACGTCCGAAGCACACCTCCGATATCGTCAGCACATGCTCGACTGAGACCGCTCTTGGGGCGTTCGATGGAGACGAAGAGGTCATGAAGAGCAGGGGTCAGAGCAATAGCAAATAGAGAACCAGATAGGGCATCCCCTTGGATAATGCCAGAACGAAGCCAGAATGCATGTATCATGTTGCCACAGCATGACATGGTCCCCTCTATGGCCGCATACAAGATTCCCACAAATGCCAGAAGGGCCCCAGGGCACTGCATAGCGCGAAGAACAAGAAGGAGACATTCTTGGGATAGGCTAGGGAATGCATGTCCATAATCAAGTGCATAAAGAAGAGGGCGTTCTTCATCGGCTTCGGGGCGGCACGAAAATCCACGAGCAGCAACGTCCAGCTCAGCAACATTCATGGCGAAGTTGCGGCCTCTCATGAAGCCGCGCTGCGATGGTGGCACAAAGGCGTCCAGAGGTTCCCGAAGCGCCGCATTCACCGACGCCACGATGATTTTGTAGCCGGTGTTCCGAAGGCCCGGAACCCTGACAGAGTTCACATCCCGATCGCATTCGCCTGCCTGCGTATCACCATCGCACTCTCCTTTCGGCAAGAAAGCCTGCAGCGTGAGGCTCTCGCTCGCATACGGGGCCACGCCCGTGAACATGTCCAGCATTACATCGTGGAGGATCTCCACGCCGAAGTCGCGTGCAGCCCACGCTGCATAGCAGAGACGGTCACAGCCAGGAGCAGAGTCAGAAGCACGAGCGACAATCTGTTTCACGAGCTTGAACGAGGGGGGAGAGACCACAGAGAAGTCGACGGGCTTGACGAAACGGTCGACGCATCGACTGGCAGCAGCACGATCCCAAGGTTTCCGACCAAAGACTTGTCCCCAATGACGCCCAAGAGCACGACAGCGAGCCTCAGGACCACCCACAGGAACCCCATCCACGACAATGTCACGAAGAATCATACGTCGAGCAAAAGGCACCCAGATACGAGCACGACGATCGAGAGCTCTCATACGTTTCCGAAGCTGATTCTGTCCCACGGCATTCCCACCACCTTGTTCTCCCCTACCCGCTACTTGTGCTAGCTGTGACCGTAGAGCTGCTCTATCGAGTTCCGCGGCATTGAGCTGCTGCAAATTGCACCACTGCATGAAGGATGCTGCGTGCACAAGCTCGACCCGCGTGCCGCTCACTTCTAAAAAGTCGGCCGCTGCAGAGTGAGATCCCAAGAGCCGAACAGCAGCCTGGACATCTTGTCTCCATACAGCGCGCGCCACGGCTCTCGCAACCAAAAGCAGCGTGCGTGGGTCACGAGGATGGCGAAAGAGAAGCCGATCACGTGCCTCACGACTGGCTTCTGTCAGAAGGTACTTGTAGCGTTCCAATCTTGGGGCCGAACCCATCGCAGCCAGATGAGGCCGCTCAATTTCCAGATATTTCTCCAGGATAGCTCTGAACTCACGCGTGGCGCAGATGTGTTTGGGGATGGGGCGGTCTCCAGGAGCAGGAGGGCGACGCTGACGAAACAAGACGACATGAGCAGCATGATCACTTACCTTCTGCCTGGACAACGTCTCTGGATCACCTTCTACCTTCGCCGCCACAGTCATCTGAGTCAAGACCCAGCCTGGCCACGAGCACCAAAACCGATCTATCGCAGCCGCCGCATCTGCCTTCGCATCGTAATGTGTGGCAGCAGAACATGTAATCTCTACAAGGGAATCGAGAGTGGGGGACCACACAGGGGCTCTCGCATGGAGGGGGCGAGGAACCCTCTGGGCCTCAGATGGCTGCGAGAAGCTCAGCTTTTCCTCTGAGGCAAAGTTGAAATCGCCATGCACGACTACGAGACAGGATTCTGGGGAGGCCTCCAACAGACATCTATCCTGGGATATCGCACCGCAAACGTCCCGAATTTGATTTTGAGTTAAATCATGATTATGCACGTTCCAATGGATGAGCGTGGTTTCCCCATCGGAAAAAAACAAACTCTCAAAACTCGGCCAGGAACGTAGCAAGAAGGAGTGGCAGTGACACCAGGAGGAGGAGAGGGCTGGCCATTTTGGAGCACTCCAGGAACCACCGTGGCTACCCCACCACGGATGCGCCCCTCGGGATCTTCCCCGCAGAAGCTCGAAAAAATCAAAGCGCCTGGGAGGATCTTCTTGAGGATGGATTCAAGCTGGGTGAGATCTTGACGGACCTCCTGGAAAGCAGAAACAGACGAGCCTAGACACAGACGCCTCATGTATCCCAACTTCACCCCAGCATGCTTACCTTCATACTGCAGCAAAGCCCTGCAATTCCAAGAATTAAATCTCACACCCCCTCGCGCTTCCGCACCCTGGAGAGACGGCAGCGGCGAGACAGCAAAAAGACGAGTGAATTGGCTAAAGACACCACTGCGGCTCCTGGTCAGGCTCGATCGCGCAGGCGATCGCACCGGCGAGCTCGGCCTTCGAGAGGTTGAGCTTGTTGAGCGTCGCTTGGTTCCACTTGACCTGCGTCAGCGCGCGGCCCTCCGAAACCTCCAACTTGAGCAGCGGGCCCAAGCCGATCGACAGCCACCCCCTCTCGCGGTCCAGGAAGACACGGTGGGAGTTGCCAAGATGGTTCGAGAGCAGCGTGCGTACCTTGCGGCCCGTGATCTCCCGCTTGATGGTGCGTGGGTTCTTGTCGCCACTGATGTGCAACTTAGCGACGCCTTCGCCACTGTGAGCAGGTACTTCAAATTGACGCCAGCCGTTGTCAGTGCGGAGCATGGAAAGCGCTTTCGCCACACGACGGGCGGCCAGCCCTTCTCCACCACGAACACGGACTGCGAAGAGACGAGAGAGAGGATCACGCGACTCGAGGGACCACCATTCATCTTGATAACCAGCATCTGACAGCCACGGCGCCAGCGCTTCAGCCACAATCCCTTTGGCCACCAGCTTGCCAGCGTTGACCTTGATAATCGAGTAGTCCACCTCGCGCTCGAAGTTGGACGAGAAAACATGAGGCTTCTGCGGCTTGGACTCCGCCATCGCCAGCGCCTCCTGCAGCTTCTTGACGGTCGCCTGGATCTCCTCCAGCGCGGACGTGTGGTCACTGAGGTCGCAGTGACGGAATCGAGGCGCTCAGAGAGGTCATCATACTTGAGATGGAACTCACGGCGGATATCATCCAACTTGGGCGTGAGAGTGGAGACAATCTGAGAGTCCAGCTTCTTATCGATGCCCTTGAAGTCCTCCTGGCAGGCAGCGAAGCACTTGTCGAAGTTGGCCTTGAACGAGTCACCGATCGACGACGCCTCCTTGGCCACCGACTCCTTGATGGATGCTGCCACAACTTCGTCCACTTGTTCCTTGATCGAGCCAAGCTGCTGAGAGATGATGTCCGAGCAGAGGGCGCGGAGGTGCTCCTCACCGTAGCAGTCACCGTCGTCAGAGTCTTCGTTGTCCATGGGGACGGGCGCAGGAGATGCGGGGACACTGCCAGTCCCAGCTGAGGCAGCAGCACCACGAGCAGCGCGAGGAGTGCGCCTGCCTTCCTTGCCAGTCTTGATGACGCCAGCAGCCTTCTTTGCCGTTCCATGAGCAGTCGACATCCACGACACAAAATGAGTCTGAGGGAAATCGAAAGCGGGGCTAAGTGAGGGTGCCCAACTCCCCCAGTAGAGGCAGAAAGCAAATGCCAGGCTGAACAGCCTTGCCTGCCGCGGTATCAGCGGTGTCCCTGCAGGCACGGAGGCGCGGAGCCCCCTCAGTGCAGGCATCTTGACCCAAAATGGCTACGGTGGAGGAGGAGGAGGAGGAGGAGGAGGAGGAGGAGGAGGAGGAGGAGAAGGAAGAGGAAGAAGGGAGGAAGGAGGAGGAAGAGGAGGGGGAGGGGAGTAGGGAGCAGGAGAAAGAAGAGGGGGGAGCCGCGCGGGGGTCTCCTGCTCGCTCGGAGGTGCGCCACGGGGTCGCGCTTCCACGCCTCCGAGGGCGCAGGAGGCGAGGGCGCGAATGCCCAGCTGCGCGCGGCCAGAACCAACCGTGAGCGAAAAGCAGAAATCCGCCGTGACGTCTCCCGGGGGGGGGGAGGCGACGACGGAAGTCCGCCGTGACGTCTCGGGGGGGGGGCGACGACAGCCGTTAGGAGGCAACTCCGCGGAGCACTTCGCGGGAGCGATTGAGGGTACGAAGTCCGATCGAGGGCCCCCCCCGCCCCCCTCCGGAGGCCGAGACCGACCGAAACTCCCCAGCCTCGTGCTTTTGCACCACGCGGGGATGCCAGGGCTTCGATCACACTTAGGGGCGGCGGAAGGGGAGCAACGGCTGCAGGGGGTAAGTGAGCAGCGAGCTTCAGGTCGGGCCTGCCCCCCTACAGAAGGATTTTGGGCGACAAAGAATAAAAAATACCCCCAAAAAGTACACAAAAATTTACAAAATTAGCAAAAAATCGTCCCCCGACTATTTTTGTTGCTATTTGTGAATAATCCTCCTTTAGAGGGACCGGCCCGACTTAAAAAGCGAGCTGTCGTCGGCAGCAGTGGCCTCGCCGAGAGGTCGGCGAGAGAGGCCCCCCGGCCGCGAAGCCGCGCGCACCTGGCCGCGGTGAGCTAACTCGAGCCGCGTGGGCGACGAATGGGCGATGGGTGGTCGGTGCACTGGTCTCTGAGCAAGGGGCCCCCCTGAACGTGGCCCTTCATTTCGGGAGACTCTCCATGGGATCCCCAGGGATCCTATGGGATCCCCCCCCTGGGATCCTATCCCTCCATGGGATCCCCCCCCATGAAGAGTCTCCCGATCATTGGGACGCACAGAGACATAGTAGTACTGCATGTTCTCCTTGGAGGCGCGCGTCCGACCCGAACATATCGTACACCTATCTTGTAGTATGTCGATTCCCGAGCGGTGTGGCCAGAAAGCGCCCGCCACGACGCATACACTATCAGACTTCTCGGTGCGCGCATCGCCCCCGGGGGGGCGACGCACATATAGTATAAGTATGTTGGGGTGACGCCGATGTCCCCCCCCTGAAAGTAGCCCTTCATCGAAGAATCGAGAAGACGGGTGCAAGGCGCCTGGAGCGCGCCAGGTCGGGAGCGCCCTTGGGACGAGGAGGCAGGAGACGTGCCAAGCCTCTTTGGGACCGAGGAATGCACAGGATCTATTGGCTCGAAGTCTGTGATTTTTAGGCGTGGTGAATTGGCTCGAATTCTGCGACTTAGGCTGATTTAGGCTGTCCACCGCCCCCACGGGGACCACCGACACAGAAAGAGAGAAGTCTCGGTGAAGGGGCGGGGCGTCGTGTATGTCACCGCCGCGGAAGAGGACACATGACATACCCCTCCACGAGTGCATCCCACGCACCAGTACACAACAGTTCTTAGGACAACGTCGGGTTCGGAGCCACATTTCGGACCTAGAGGGAGAGGGGAGGGGGGGATGAGACGAGGGCAGGTTTCTTCAGGGCTCGTCGGCCCAAAAGCAACCAACAAACGGCCCAGAATGGCAAGCCTGTGCCTGGGATGGGGTCGCCGGTCTGCCAAGCATGCAAGTAGCAAGCATCACAGACAGTAACACCAAGGTTTAGGTCGGGCATGTCCCCCTACAGGCGGATTTTGAACTTAAAGATACCCAAAAAATACTCCAAACATGCCAAAACATGCTCCAAACATCGTCCACTGACTCTCTTTTTATATAACTATTTTCGAATATTCCTCCTGTAGAGGGACACGCCCGACTTAAAACAAAGTGGTGATGGCATGGCATCAAACACGCGTGCGCCCGCACCGCAAGCATGCAGGCCCGAGAGCCGGACTGGAGCGGCCTGCGTCACAGCCTGTTGCGCCTCCTTGATCCACAGAGGAACAGAGCAGGGCTGAACCTAAACAGTGTTTTCGTCTTCGCTTTGTTTTCGTGTTCCTTCGTTGTGTCTTCAATCCGCCTTTACCACAAAACGAAGTCGAAACGATACGGCCCACGAAATCGCAAACAAACACCATTTAGGTCCAGCCCTGAAACAGAGCATATGCTTGTCAGGACCGGAGTGAGTCCGCACGGCAAACGTGGGGGCCATGTTCAACAGCAGCTGCTGTCTGAAACCGACAGCGGCCGATGTTGGGCAGGCGGCTTGGAGTCTGAGACGAACAACATCCGCAGAGACGTCGAAAGCGAATCGTTCAAAATCCGCAGAACCTTCGGCATGTGGAAGGCGCTGACATCGTCGTCGTCGTCTTCGTCGTCGTCGGTCCCAAAGAAATGGAGGAACAAGGAAAAGCAACGTCGTAGTTCAGTCGACTCCCTTCCCTTTCTCCCTGCCATGCTGAGTGGGGGGTCTGGGGGGGGGTCCTGCGGTGATTGGGAGGGTCCCAAGTCAGAATGCCGCACCCACCCGGGTCCCAGCGTCTCCAGGGGGGTCGCAAGCGAAGGCCCTGGGGAGGTTCCGCTTCCAGTGTGGCGGCACCCGCGGTAAGGCCTTCGCAGTAGACTGGAACTGCTGCTGGTCACCGTCCCCAGTCTTTCCGTGCCCACTCCAGTCGTACTGACTTGTGGCACAGCGGGGGCGGATACGCTCGATTCCCACGGGGGGGGTCCTCTCTGCTGGCCCGCGCGTCTTGGCCCCGAGGGTGCCCGCAGGTGGCCCCGCCGCGCATCCGCGAGGTCGCGGCCTAAAGGCCCAGCCTGCGAGGCTGTGGGAACGGACACGGCTTCCGACTACAAGTGAACTGCGATCAACACCACAACAAAGGGTTGCCTCCACCGTAAGGTGATCCTAGAGTATGGTGCCGGTGATTATCACACCTACCGGTGCGATCTCGCACTGCATTATCTCGACAGACAGACCGTGTCTGGGATATGTGCTGGGCTACGTGTGCTGGGATGCGTGAGTCCCTCGATGTGCTGGGCCAGGCTGCGTGCTGGGATGTGTCGGTGTACTGCCTCGGTGTGCTTGGTGCTGGGATACTGCCTCGGTGTTCTCGGTGCAGGGATGTGTCCGTGTACTGCCTCGGTCTGCAGGGATCGGTGTGCTGAGATGTGTGGATGTACTCGGATGTGCGCATGGGGGTGTTGCGATGTGTGGAGGTGCCAAAATGTGTGCTGGGTTTGTGTTGCCTCCATGTGCTGAAATGTGTGATTGCCTCGGTGTGCTGCGATGCGTGCTGGCCGTGGCCCCCCTGGATGTGCGCTGGGCGTGATGAGATGTGTGGAGGCGGGTCGACGTGTTTGCTAGAGATTGTGTTGCCCAAGTATGCTGGAATGTGTGCTTGCCTCGGTGTGCTGCGATATGTGCTGGCCGTGGCCCCCTGGGTGTGCTGGGATGTGTGCTCGGTGCTGGCCTGTGTCGGTGTGTGTACTCTTTCGGTGCGCTGGAATGTGCGTTGCCTCCGTGCGCTGGGAGATGCGCTGGGATCTGTGCTGGAATGTGTGCTGGGTGTGCTGGGATGTATGGGCGTGCTGTGATGTGCTGGAATGTGTGCTGCCCGTGGCGCCCATGGGCGTGCTGGGATGCGTGCTGGTATGTGTCGGTGTACTGCCTCGGTGTGCTGCGATATGTGCTGGCCGTGGCCCCCGTGGGTATGCTGGGATGTGTGCACGGTGTGCTCGGTGATGGCCTGTGTCGGTGCACTCTTTCGGTGCGCTGGGATGTGTGCTGCCTCCGTGCGCTGGGATGTGTGTTGGGATCTGTGCTGGAATGTGTGCTGGGTGTGCTGGGATGTGTGGGTGGTCCCTAGGAAGGGGTCCAAACCCCTGGGGAGCCACGCTCCAGAGCGTCCCTGAAACTCGCACCGCGCCCCTCAGGATGGCCCCACGGCTTCTCTGGAAGAAATTGGGACAAGCCATAGCGCCCAAGGGCTCCTGAGGTCCCGCCGAGAGATCCCTTGGAAACATTGGCCTGGCGAAGGACCCAACCATATGCAGCTGTAAGTCTCGCAGGATATGACACTCTCTTCATAAGTAGCGCGCCGCGAGAGGGATGGAGCACGGGGCAAAGCGGATGGGAGCCCCGAAACGTGCATGGGGTGTGCCGAAATGAGCGGGGGACGCATGCGGGCGCTGCCACTGGGGCCTTCGTCCAGAGCTCCCGATAGGGGGTGTGCCGAAATCACCCGAGGCCGCCATGCGAACCTGGCAACTGGGGCCGTCGGTGAAGCTCCCTGTGGGACAACGATCCTCGTTAAAATTGCGCCGACATGCGTCGAGGTTGCTACGCGAACCCTGCCACTAGGGCCTTCGGTGGAGCTCCCTATGGGGCCACAATCCTCGTGAAAAGCGTGCTGTGGACATTCGTGGAACTCCCTTTGGGGCCACGATCCGTGTGAGGGGTGTGCGTGCCGCAACGGACATGCGGAGAGCAGAGGCAGGGATGGGAGGAGGGAGGAGACGGGAGGAAGGAGGCGGGAGGAGAACGCGGTGCGCCGTCCCTTCCAAACGAGGACCCAGCACCACGGGATGGTTGGGAAAAAAGAAAGACGGGAGCCCTCCAGGAGAGGGCCGTTTCACTCGCCCAAGCATGCTGCGCAGAGGCCCCCCTCCTGCTGGGTCCACGGGAGCGCAGACCGACGGAGCACGCCTGGATCCACTGAGCTTGCCTTCTGGCAGCCTGCAGCCGAGAAGGCGCGGAGCGCGTCCAGAGTCCAAAGCTCGGAGGCTTGGAAATGGGCACCGCCACCAACCCCGGGAGGGGCCTCCGCCGGGGGAAAGCTGATCCTAGATTTAGGTCGGGCATGTCCTCCTACAGGCGGATGTTGGACGGAAAATGAACAATACTCCCAAAACAATCAAACATTGCGGAACAGTGTTCAAACATCGTCCCCAGTTGACTTTTTGGGACTATTCCTCTCAGGCCCGACTTCATCCTAGATTTGACTGCTGATGGTAATGTTTTGGCCACCTAGGAAGCCCGAATATTAGAGAGAGCGTGACCCACCGCCGCTTCACTATGGAAGATTCCCCCCCTCTTCCTCCAGAACCCGAGGGCCCCACCCCCCCTCCCCGAAAATCTCCCCCCCCCCCCTGCTCGACCCTCCCCCCCCCCCCCTTCTCCCAGCACCCCCCCTCCACTAACCCCCCCACACCTCCTTCTCCAAGACACTGGGGGGGGGGCGTCACTACTGGTTCGAACCCCCCCCCCTCCAGAAATCCGGGAGAGGGTCACTACCGGTTCGACCCCCCCCCCGACTCGCCGCCGGCAAAAGATTCCCGAATCCCCACCACTGTCCTAACTACGGCCCTCACCACTGTCCCCACCACCACCGTCCCCAACACTGTCCCACTGCCCCCACTGTCCCCACCACTGTTCTCACTGTCCCCACCAATGCCCCCACCACCGTCGCACTGTCCCCACTGTCCCCGCCACTGTCCCCACCGCGGTCCCACTCTCCCCACCGTCCTCATTGTCCCCACCACTGTCCACCTGTACCCATTGTCCCCACCACTGTCCCAGTCCCTACTATCCCCGCCGCTGTCCCACTGAGCTGTCCCACTATTCCCACCACTGTCCCACTGTACCTACCACTCTCCCCACTGTCCAACTGCCCCATTGTCCCACCACCGTCCTCACCACCGCCCTCACCATGTCCCCGCCACCACCGTCCCCACCAACGTCCCACTGTCCCCACCACTGTCACAGTGTCCCCTCACCACTGTCCCCACCACCACCGTCCCCACCACTGTCCCACTGCCCCCACTGTCCCCACCACTGTCCCACTGTTCCCACCACTGTCCCCACTTTCCCAACCAGTGCCCCCACCACTGTCCCACTGCCCCCACTGTCCCCACCACTGTCCCACTGCCCCCACTGTTCCCACCACTGTCCCCACTTTCCCAACCAGTGCCCCCACCACTGTCGCACTGTCCCCACTGTCCCCACCACTGTCCCCACCACGATCCCACTCTCCCCACTGTCCCAACTGTCCCCACCACTGTCCCACTGTCCCCACTGTCCCCGCAACTGTCCCACTGTTCCCACTGTCCCCACCGCTGTCCCACTGTTCTGCCCCACTGTCCGCACTGTCCCCACCACTGTCCCCACCACTGTCCCCACCACTGTCCCCACCACTGTCCCCACCACTGTCCCCACCACTGTCCCACTGTCCCCACCACTCTCCCCACTGTACCACTGTACCACTGTTCCACCACCGTCCTAACCACCCCCTTCACCACTGTCCCCACCACCAGTCCCCGCCACTGCCCCACTGCTGTCCCCACCACCACCGTCCCCATCACTGTCCCACTGCTGTTCCAACAACCACCGTCCCCACCACTGTCCCACTGTCCCCAGTCCCCGCCTCTGTCCCCGCTGTCCAACCACGAGTCACGAGTCGTTGCGGCGAGGGGGGAGGGGGGGGGAAGGGGGGAGGCAGTCGAACTGGTGGTGATCCCCTCCCGGTTTTTCGAGGGGGGAGGGATTCGTCGAACAGGTAGTGACCCCCCCCCCCCTTTTCATGATGGACCAGGGGGGGAAGGGGGGGGGGGATGAACCCCCAGTGACCCCCTCCCCCAGGTTTTCGAGAGGGGGGTGGCGGGTTGGAAACCCCCAGTGACCCCCCCGTCGTTTTCTGCCAGAAACGGTAGAACACGCTCTTTCGAATCTTACCACCATCACCGAGGTCGGCACCATCTTCCCTTGGCGGAGGGACACCGCCGAGCCCGGTGCTCGTGCCAACCTCGAGGCCTCCGAAAGGCGGAGCCGCGCTGGGATGATCCTGGAACTTCTGAAGCCGCGCTGGGATGATCCTGGATCGGCCAGCGGCAGGGGCAGGTCGAGGATCGGCCCGCGGCAGGGGCAGGTTGAGGATCGGACCGCGGCAGCAGAGAGGGACGAGGGAGCGCAAGCAGAAAGCACCGCACAACGACTGACTCTCGGGACTCCCTGCGATGGCTTGCATCGGCGCCAGGGGCGGCACCAGAGGCGCCGCCAGGGGAGGCCACCGCCAATCCCCAAGACACTGGCGCGGACATCCCAAACTCTCTCTCTCTCTGTCTATATATATGTGTGTGTGTATATATCGGGGGTGGACAGAACCCCCTTTAGTAAAACGTGGATTAGTGAAAACGACCTCGGGCCCAAACCTGGCGGGCGCAAGCCTGAAGATTGACGGCCGCGTCGCCCTCTCGAGAACCGAAAACGGACAATTCACTCATCGACGCGTCAGGGTGGGGCTTCTGTCCACTCCCGAATATATGTGTATATATATATACACACACACACCGAAGGTTGGAGAAGAGCTGGTGGCTTCCGGGCGCCCGCGAGGCTCCCGCCCACACAGCTGCCCTCGCGGGACGGACGCCCAAGGGAAAGACGCGGACCGCCGTGGCACGCCGTGGCACGGTGGAGGCGGATGCTGTTAACTGTTGCTGCGCAGCGGTCGTTACCCGAAGGGGGGGGAGGGGGAAGGCGGAGTAGGAGGGGGAAGGAGGAGGAGGAGGGGGAAGGAGGAGGAGGAGGACGAGGACGAGGACGAGGAGGAGGAGGAGGACCCCCTCCCCCTCCAACTCATGGTGGTGGTGGTGGTGGTGGTGGAAAGCAGGCCCATCAGGGGCCCCGCGTAACGGTAACGCTTGGGCGGGGGGGGCACCTGCGCAAAGCATGCGAGCACTGGCAGGGCACCTGCGAGCTCCGGCAGGCCTGCACCACGAAGACTGACGATCACCACTGTTAGCGGGGAGGGGCGAGCCCAGGTCACGACCGTGACGCGCCAGATGATAAAAGCACAGCCTCATGGGACTGCGCTGCGCGCTGCAGTATATCCCGTGAGCTTGAAGCGCAGCTGGTTGGATGCTTCTAGGCCAATAGGACATGGAGACGGCCAGGGAGGCCAGCGGGGATTTTCTGAGTGCCCCGCGAACGACGCCCCACAACCACAGCTTTTCCCTGGCACTCGCTGTGCAAGCCGACATCCCGACACCAGTCGTCGTCGTGGTGGTTACGAGGCAACTCGCTGGTGGCACGTACAATTCCCCTCGAAATCACACGCAAGTATCTTCTAACCCCCTTGCCTCCACTCCCCCCCCAATGTCAATATTCGGCGACATGCGCAATGCGGCCCGCGGTGCCCGATGAAACATATAAGCCGCCAATTTCGACGCGAACATGGACATTGGGGTCCAGGGGAGCTGCCAAGTCACGGAAAAAGAAGCGTCTGATTTCGAGGAGGGTTGTAGAATGCAGAGAGTAGTAGGTCCTGGGTCGTAAAAACGGACGGCTCGTGTCGCGACGATTCGTGCAGTGGCTCCTGACACCGCGCGGAGCGGTTCACCCATGAACGATCGTGGCATCCTGATAGCGAAGATCGTTGGATATCGCCCGATTCTGAACAAGTGGCGGCGTTCAGTAGCGGATGGTAAATGGTAAGCGTGAAATGATTTGTTGGGGCATTGTGTTAGGGAAACCAACAATTCTTGCTCTCCTCTCACGACAGAGAACCACCGTGACGATCCTGGAAGCACTGCCAACCCTGGCAAAATCACACTTTCGGCAAGAGAAGAACCGCATGGTAGAGTGAGAGCCCAAATATTAGGCCGCGCCCCACGGAGTCCCACTCCGGAGCGAAAGCGGCAGCCAAAGGAGGAGGGAGGAGGAGCAGCAGCATGAGCGGAGGAAGGAGGCGAGAAGGACAGACAATGGCGCCGTGTGTGCATCCCCACATGGCCTAAACGATAGAAAACCAACAATTTGCATAACATAAGAATTTGGAGGTCCACGCAGATTCCTCGGATCAGCGCCGGAGGCGCCGCCGGGAGGCTCCAGCGCCGATCCGAGAACTCTGCGCGAATCTCCGAGTTGTCATGCTTATGTCATCGTAGGTCGCACGTGGCTGGCAGCACGTGGACGCGGCAGGCAGCAGATTAGCAGGCGGCGGGCAGCAGGCAGCAGGCAGCACATGGCAGGCACTCCGCAGGCTGCGCGCAACAGGCTCGGCAGAGTTCCGAGAAGTGCCGGAGGCGGTGCAGGAGTGAAGCGACAGCAACTCGACAAGGAGGCGATCCGATCTTCCAAACTGAGCTGCACACTTCAACATACAACCTGTCTCTGACCCGCGACCCAGGGAAAGGTGCCATGGGAGGAGCAGCTTCAGCGGGCGTGGCTGGGGGGGAAAGAGTGGGTGAAGAAAGAAGCACCCTTCGCGCGCCTTCGGGACCCCAGGGGGCCCTCTAGGGCACCTTTCCTGCAACCCTTGATCCCCCCGCATGCGCATGTATCGGCGCCTCGTTCGAAAACGCCCGAGGGCAGGTTAGTAGACAATGGCCAGGCGGGTGGGCGCGCCTCCGTCGCGCGGCAGCGCGGGCAGTCTCCGCAATCGGCGCGATGAATGTCGACTGCCTGGGAACAGCTGGCCACAGGGGGGGTCCTCCCTCCTCCGCCTCCTCCTCCTCCTGCTCCTCCTCCTCCTGCTCCTCCTCCTCCTCCTCCTCTTCCTCCTCCTCCTCCTCCTCGTCCTCGTCCACCTCCTCCATGCTCCTCCTCCTCCTCCATGCTCCTCATCCTCCTCCTCCTCCTTCTCCTCCTCCTCCTCCTGCTCCTCCTTCTCCTCCTCCCCCTCCTCCTCCTCCTCTTCCTCCTCCTTTCCCTATGAATGAGTAACTTCTCTCTGTCGCATCCCGAGGCAAGTTATTAGGGCGGGCCAGGCGTTTCGCCTGAGACTTCCTGATCATTTTGGACCCTGAAGCTTCAAAAGTGGCAACCGCTTCACAAGTTGAGTGCGGGTCGTGTTCGAGATGTGGCTCTCGCCTCAGCGTCGCGCACATTCGTTTCACAAATTTACAGGAGCTTCACGGATTGAGGGCGGGTGGTTTTCAGAATGTGGCTCTCGCCGTAGCGCCGCGCATATTCGCTTTACACATTTGCAAGAGTCTCACGGATCGAGGGCGGGCCGTTTTAAAAATGTGGCTCTCGCCTTAGCGCCGCGCAAACTCGTTTTAAGCATCTGCACGAGTTTCGCGGATTGAGTGAAGTGTTTTTTACATGTGTCTCGCCTTAGCGCCGCGTACAGGTCTTACGAAAAATGCAAGAGCTCCACGGATTGAGGGCGGTTCCTTCTCAGAATGTGGCTCCCGCATTAGCGCCGCGCACATTCGGTTGATCAACGTACCAGAAATTGTGCGTTGGAAGGATTCAGGATTATGAGGGTGCAACAATTACGTTGATTCGCGGTGTTGAAGTCCCAAGGATGGAGTTCAAGCACGATTCAAGATCGTCAAAACGCCACAGTCAGGTTGATCCGTGACGTTGGAATCCCGCGACCACTGTTTTGGCATGCTTCAGGGTCTTCAAGCGGTTGTCGTCCAACGGGGCAGTTCCCTCAGTGGAAATGTACCGTTGCAGGGGCTTACGAAAAGGGAGCTTGGAGGAACGTTGTATTCCAACATCGTTGATGACTCTGGGGTTTACACTGGTCCTCCTCCTCCTCCTCCTCCGTCTCTTCCTCTTCATCCTCTTCTCCCTACTCTCTTCTACCTCCTCACTCGTCCTCATAGTCCTCCTGCGCGTACTCGTCCTTCTCCTCCTCCTCCTCCACCTGAGCCTCCTCCCCCTCCTCCTCCTCCTCCTCATCATCATCATCACCATCATCATCAGCATCATCATCAGCAGCAGCAGCATCGTCATCATCATCATCATCATCATCATCATCATCATCATCATCATCATCATCATCATCATCATCATCATCATCATCATCCGTATCATCATCATCAGCATCATCAGCATCGACATCATCATCGGCATCCGCATCATCAGCAGGAGCATTATCACCAGAGGCAGAAGCGTCGTCAACATTATCATCAGCATCATCATCATCATCATCAGCATCATCATCGCCATCATCAACAACAACATCAGCATCATCATCAACAGCATCATCAGCAGCATCAGCATCAGACACACCATCAGCAGCAGGATCATCAGCATCGTCATCATCATCACTATCAGCATAATCATCATCGTAATCGGCACCATCATCAGCAGCATCATCTGCATCACCATCGTCATCATCATCATCAGCAGCATCATCATCATCAGCAGCAGCATCATCATCCGCATCCTCCTCCTCCTCCTCCTGCTCCTCCTTCTCATCCTCTTCATCATAATCATCATCATCATCATAATCATCATCATCATCATCATCATCATCATCATCATCATCACCATCACCATCACCATCACCATCACCATCACCAGCACCATCATCAGCATCAGCATCATCATTATCAGTATCAGAATCATCAGCACCAGCACCATCATAGTCAGCATCACCATCATGATAAGCATCAGCATCATCATAATCAGCATCATCAGCGTCATCAGCATCAGCAGCATCAGCAGCATCATCAGCATCATCAGCATCAACACCAGCATCAGCATCATCAACATCAACACCATACGCATCATCATCATCGTTGTCCTCCTCCGCCTCCTCCACCTCCGCCCGCCTCCCTCCTCCCCGCCTCCCTCCTCATCATTATCATCATGATCAGCATCAGCATCATCATCAAGATCAGCAGGTTCAGCATCGGGCCCGCCATCATCATCATCAGCATCAGCATCATCATCATCATCGACATCGTCATCAACATCATCATCACGATCATCATCATCATCATCATCATCAGCATCATCATCATCATCATCATCAGCATCATCATCATCATCATCAGCATCATCATCATCATCATCATCAGCAGCATCAGCATCCTCATCATCGTCATCATCATCACCATCATAATCGTCGACATCAGCATCAGCAGCATCGTCATCAGCAGCAGCATCATGGTCAACATCAACATCAGCAGCATCATCTTCATCCTCAGCATCATCGTCATCATCAGCATCAGCATCAGCATCAGCATCATCATCATCATCATCAGCATCAGGATCATCACAAGCATCACCAGCCGCATCATCATCATCATCATCATCATCATCATCATCATCATCATCATCATCATCATCATCATCATCATCATCGTCTGCAGCATCATCAGCATCAACATCAGCATCAACATCATCAGTAGCCGCAGCACCATCATCATCAGCATCATCATCATCATCATCATCATCACCAGAATCATCAGAATCATCATCATCAGCATCATCATGACCATCGTCGTCATCAGCATCATCATCAGCCTGTTCATCATTATCAGCTCCAGCATTCTCAGCACCAGCGGCAGCATCATTATCATCATTAGTTTCATCAGTAGCAGTTGCATCATCGGCATCATCATCAGCGGCATCATCATCAGCATCAGCATCATCAGCAGCAGCATCATCTGCATCAGCAGCATCACCAGCATCACAGGAAGCAGCATCATCATCATCAGCAGCAGCAGCATCATCCTCGCCAACAGTACCATCATCATCAGATGACACTCATCAGCATCATCAGCATCGAATTAATCATCATACTCATCGTCATCTTCATCATCATCAGCATCAGCATCATCATCAGCCATCGCAGCATCAGCACCATCGTATCATCATTACCATCATCACCATCATCAGCATCGTCATCATTATCATCGTCATCGTCATCATCAGCATCGTCATCATCCTCATACTCAGCATCGCCATAATCATCCTCATCATCATCAGCCTCATCATCCTCATCTGCATCATCATCAGCAGCATCACCATCCCTCCTCCTCCTCCTCCTCCTACGCCTCCTCCTCATCATCATCATCCTACTCTTCTTCCTCCTCCTCCTCAGCTTCCTCGTCATCCTCCTCCTCCTCCATCTCCCTCCCTCCCTCCCTCCCTCCTCCGTCCCTGCCTCCCTCCTCCTCCTCCTCCTCCATCTCCTCCTCCTCTTCTGCTCCTCCTCGTGCACCCCTTGTACCTCATCCTCCTTCTCCTCCAGCACCTCATCCTCATCCTTCTCCGCCTCCTCCGTCTCCTCCCCCTCCTCCTCCCCCTCCTGCTTCTCCGCATCCTCCTCCTCCTCCTCCGCCTCCGCCTCCTCCTCACCCTCCTCCCTCCTCCCTCCTCCCTCCTCCTCCTCCGCCTCCTACCTTCAACTATTATCCCTCCAGCTCCTCCTGCCCACCCCCATTTCCACATTATTCCAGCCCTTCTGCACCCCCTCCTCCTTCCAACCCCTCTTCCGCCAGGATCGCACTCCTGGGACGAGGAGGCAGGCATGCTGAGCCAAATGGGAACCCCACTCGAAGCACGCTACACGTTCTGAGCGCCTCCGTACTGGCCCGCTGGTGATCGACAGGGGCCCGCTTGGCGCGTTCCCCCGGACCAGGTACGCTCACCTGGACCCGCGATCGCTACAGTATTCGGCCTGACCTAAGAAACGATAAATAAGAAACGAAGCCCCTTTCTTTCCAAGTAAGTCTACGAAGTCCGAGGGAAAACCAGGGGGGCTCGCCGCCAAGAAGGAAGCGGAACGCATGCAAACCAAAGGAACGACCGAGCCCCTTTTGAAAAGTAAATGTTCATTATTCAAGCCGGACCGTGTATTGCCCTGAATGCCCACAGAACGGAACACCTGTTCGGCGGCATCGCTGCCTATGTCTCGGTGGCGAGCGAGGGGGGAAAGAGAATGAGAAGGCCGTCTCAGAAGGCGGCGGGACTTCTCAGAAGCCCTCGCGCCTTCTGAGAAGCTCTTTGTGTCTTCGGGAAAGGCTTAGAAAACTTCTCAAAGGCCGCTGGACTTCCGAGCCTTCTGAGAAGGCCCGCCCCTTCTCATTTCCTCCCCTCGCTCGCCACCGAAAGTCATGACACCAATCCAACTAATTCCGGCGATCTAGCGATCAAGATCTACTAAGCTGACGACAAAGAGGCATATCCAGTAGGATCTGTCCAAGACGTCGCTCGGAAGAGTCCTGCGAGGAAAGAGTTGGCAACATCACTCTCAAAAGGTCTTCAGCGTGCTGTGCTGCCCCTCCTCAGTCTGAGCGGGTCCTCCCAGATCGTGAAAAGTACGTGTCAGGTCGATCGTCTGGAAGGGATAGCTGAATCCGACACCACCCACTGGGCCCCCGAACTCTGCGCCCGCATCGACGCTGGCCGCGGCAAACTCCGACGCCGGTAAGCGCAACGCTCACAACACCAGCTACGGCAAACCTGGTTTAATGATTATGGCCAATTCAGGGACTTCAGGGCCCTACCACTAACCCGGGTCCCCTCACCTGGGGTCCTGGCCATACCCAAAAAACAGGGGGGTGGGGGCCAGCCTCACCTAGCTCCAGATACAGGGTAAACCAAAGGGGATTGGCTGACCCCCATCAGGGCCGACCCCCGTTGACTCCTCCTCCTCGTCCTCCTCCTCGTCCTCCTTCTCCTCCTCCTCCTCCTCCTCCTCCTCCTCCTCCTCCTCCTCATCCTCCGCCTCCGCCTCCGCCTCCGCCTCCGCCTCCGCCTCCGCCTCCGCCTCCTCCTCCGCTTCCACCTCCTCCTCCTCCCCCGCCACCTTCGCCTCCGCCACCTCCGAAGCGGCCACAGTATGCTCAAACGCATGAAAGCCATCGCCCCTGTTGTGCTGTGCGGGCTGCTCTCTTGCGGCGGCGACGACTACAACAGATCGACGACGACGGCGAAGACGACCAACAGACGACGACGGCGATGACGATCAGCGACGACAACGACGAGGACGACGACGACGAAGAAGACAACGGCGACGGCGACGGCGACGGCGACGACGGCCACGACGACCACGACGACGACGACGACCACGACGACGACGACGACGGCGGCGACGACGACGACGACGACGACGACGACGACGACGACGGCTCCCGGCGCCGCGAGCGGCCGCCGCCGCTGCCGGCGGTCCTCAGGAGGCCCTCGGCCTGCAGGCAGCACTCGGCCAGCGGCTGGTCCTTGGCCGTGCCGCGCGCGGAGCGCACCGTCCGCCCCCCGGGGGGAGCGACGGCTCTGCGCGACGGGTGGCCGGTCGAGGCCCTCGCTGGCGGCGCCTACGGCGCAGGCTCGGGGCCCAAACCCACTGGGGTCGCTATGTTTCGTCATTATCCTTACTGAATGAATACTCATTTACATTTTTTTTGTTATTTTCATCCTCTGGGGGCCCTCACCAGGCCCCGGGACCGTCACAGAGTGAGAGACCGGCCCCGGGAAATGGGTCGGGGCCTCTGGGAGTCGACGTTATGAAAAAATCATGACGTCAGGGGTCTGGGTACGGCGCAGGCTCGGGAGGGGGCATCAGGGGCAAAGTTAGGGAGCAATACGCTCAGGTTGAAGTCGGCGATTTTCCAGCCATGGCATGCGTTTCGGCAGCTGCGCCTCGCCGAGGGCGTTCCCGAGATACTCGGATCGTCCCCAGCGGCCGCCGGAGAGCCAAGTTATGACCCGAGATTCAGGAGGCAATGTCGGGTTGGGATCGGCTCAGGGAGGGATGCATCGAGTCCCTGGCCCAGGGTGAGCTTTTCGCTTCACTTTGGATCCCATGGGGCAATCTGGGCCTCGTAAGAAATGGGCTCTCGGGCCCCTGTCGGCGATCAACGGGCGATTGGAGGTCGACGCTGCATCGACCTCCAATCGCACATTGATCGCCAAAAGGAGCCAGATAGCCCTCCCCGCCCAAGACCGTGGGGCTTCGCTATCGAGGGCCTGTCGCCACTCTATCGGCGATGTAGCGCCGATTCCAGGTCGGTGCTTCCCCCTGTGAGCCAGTCTTAGGTCGGGCATGTCCCCCTACAGGCGGATTCTGAACCAAAAAACAGGACATACCCCAAAAATGCTCAAACATAGTTTCTAGAATATCGAGAACTCGTCTCCAGGCTGTTTTGACTATTTTTGAATATTCCTCCTTGAGATGACTACCTACCAGACCACCCCAACCCAACCCGAAAACCCGAATTTCGGGTTGGGGGGGTATGGGCTCCACACGTGTTTTTGTCGATGTTCCCGGACCCCCCCCCACTGGAAATCGAGGGGAAACCTGAGCCTTCGGGTTGGGTTGGGGTGGTTTGGTGGGTGGTGAGTAGAGGACGGGCCCGATGTCAAGCCAGTCCCCCCCCCCTGCCATTCCCCCTCGGGCCGTGCGCGCTACACACCCGGAGGCCGGGGCTTCTCGGAGGAGGGCGACTCGAGACCGCGGCGGCCCTCCCCGGCGTTGTGATGACCGGCCTCGGGGCCTCCCGGCAGCTTCTCGTCGCCACGGCCGGGTACGCCCTGCGAAATGCTTAAGAAATCATGGGTTAAGAAATTCATAGTCTCAGAACTTGAATAAAAACCCAGCATTTCTATTAAAATCATAAGGTTTACATTGAAACGTTAAGAATAATCGAGACTCTGGCCGAAAACTTAAGTTTTCTTAAGCATCGCCTAAGGTGTACGCTTAGGTCGGGCATGTCCCCCTACAGGTGGATTTTGGAAGAGAGATAACAAATAGTCGCAAAAAAAAGCTGAACAAAGATTCATGCATGATCGAAAAATCGTCCCCAGCCTATGTTTGTTTGACTATTTTACATTTCCCCCTGTAGAGAGACATGCCCAACTAAGGGATCCTTGAATCGGGGACGGCCACGAGGGGGGCGTCCAAGAGGGCGAGGGCGCAAAGCATGGCCGGCGGCATGTGCGCGGCCCAGAGGGGGGGAACGGGGGCGCATTGAAACAAGAAGAGGCGCCATGACATGTGAGGAACTACATCATGGCCCCCGCCAGGATACCCCCTCTGGGCCAGCACCCCCGTCCTGGCCGCCCCCGAAGATCCTGGACGGCTCCCGGGCGGGGGCGGGGGCGGGGATCAGTGCTGCGCGGCTGCGGGCCCGGACGGGCGAGCCGACGTCGTCTCAACAGGCCGCCCTCGGACCTCCCAGGAAGATCGAGGTTCCGAGGATCGAGGGTTCGAGGATCGAGGCTTCGAGGATCGAGGTTTCGAGGGCCTTCATCTTGATTCAGGGATCGAGGCTTCGAGGATCGAGGATTCGAGGATCGAGGCTTCGAGGATCGAGGTTCCGAGGATCGAGGATTCGACGATCGAGGTCTTCATCGTGATCGTCAACGGCGCCGGCGTGCGCGTCGACGGCGTGAGCGTCGTCGGCGTGCGGCGTCGACGGCGTCCGAAACCTGCCGAAACGACCTCAGACCGCCGAAACCCTTTCGGAAGTCGTCGTCGTCGTCATCGTCGGCGGCGTCGGCGTCGTCGCGCGCAATACGCTGAGGCCGCCGACGCTGACGCGCTTCATGCTGTACTGGCCGAAGGCGGCCTGCGCCAAGTCTTCGGAGGTCCACCTGGCCCAGCCGGTCTCGAGCGTGCTTCTCGTCTCCCTCCTCCCAGGCCGAATTCACCGCTCGGTGGGGTTAAGATCGTGTCTCTATTATTGAGGGGGCCCAGGGACACACAAATAAATACAAACAAATCCAAGGATTCCCCATATTTCCCATATTTTCTATGTGTTCGTCTTCCCCCCCACTTCCCATGTGTTCCCATATTTTCTGGGGAATCGAGATTAATTGTGTCTGTGTGTTTTTCCCCTCCTGGATTATGTCCAGTAACGGTCGGGAAGGGTTGGGGACGTGCAACGGTAACGCTTGGGTGGGGTACGTCGGGGCGGGGGCGCAATGCGATCCACCAGCATGTGGGGGGGGTCCAGCCCCACACCCGCGTACGAGCATTACCGTTACCCAAGGGGTGGGGGGGTCTGGCCTGGGTACAGTCAACCAGTATAGTAAGGATGCGCGATAAGCATGCAAGGGCCTTGGAAGCCCATTTCGAAGCTTTGCGATCGGGGCGCGGCCAGCGAAAGTGGCCAAGGATGGACCGAGGAGGCAAGGATGCAAGGGTACCCTTGGGAAGGTTGCCCATCCTTACTATTCGGGTTGACTGTAGCGACCGTCACGCGCCAGAGGATAACAAAACACTCTCGTTCGTAGCGACCTGGAGTCAGGGTCCTGATGTGATGACCGCTGCACGAGCGAGAGACTACGGCAGGCTCGCGTCGCGATGACGTCAGCGTCGGTCTCTGACACCCCGCGAATCGTTCAACCATGAACGATCGCGGCCCCCCGATCGTTCAACCATGGACGATCGCTATCGGCCATTTCTGGGCCAACGGCGGCGTTCAACCTCGAACGCCCGTGCTGGAGCCACCGCCGCGCCGACGCGGCGCAAGCCTGCCGTGGGCAGCACGACTTCCGTCCTGCTCCTCTGCCTCCAGCCGTCGGCACGGACCCGAGCGGCCGCGGGGCCGAGCCGCCGCTTAGTGACCTCTCCAGGAGCTGGCGCAGGGCGGCGCCCGGAGGCACGAGAGCCTGCGGCCGCCTGCTGCTGCCGAGGCCCCTGGAGGCTGCCCGGGCTGAGCTGAACTCCTCCACGTCCCCACCGGCAGCATGATCAACATCATCAAGATCGCCGCTGCCATCATCATCCTATTATTCCCCATCATCACACCTTCCTCTCCTCCTGCTCCTCCTCATCATCCTCCTCCGTCTGGGCTGAGCTGAACTCCTCGACGTCCTCGTCCTCCTCCTCGGGGAGAAGACCAGGGCAAGGCCGAGGAGAAGGATGAGGACGAGAACCTGGATGGACTTTGTTGTCGCACTGCCCTGCCCTCGTTTTCCTCCTATTCTCCCCCCCGCTGCCCGTCGTGATTCGCAATTGATGCCGTGTCCTCAGCCCCATCCACCTCCTGATCTTCCTCCTTCCTGCTCCTCGTCACCATCCCCCCCCCCGCTGCCCGTCGGGAGTCCCCCGCTAGCCCCTGCCATCCGACGCGAGCGCCCGCGCTCGCATGAAGCCTTTGAGCCCCGATGGGAACGGAGAAGGAGAGCAGGAGGCAAGGAGGGGACAGCGGTGAAGACCGAAAAGGCGCGCCAAGCGCTGAACCTCTACTTGAATTACACCCTCTGATCTCGACCGGCCAACCGTAGATACAATGCGCACAGTGCTCGGACGATGCGGGTCATCCCACAATAATCTACATAGATATGAACCATTGGCAACCGCCACAGACACACATCTACATATGCACATGCGTTAACATACCTACATATATATATATATATATATATATATATATGTATACACATGTACTAGAAACATCGCGCGCGAGCTCAAATTCGACTTGCCATGAGGCCAAGCGTATAGCGCGTCAGAGACGCCGTGTCGAGATGGTCGGGTCCTCTGTTTGGAAACCAACGCCTTGATGTCTGAAAGCGCACTGAAGCTTGGCATTCGGGGTAGTCCTGGGGCATCCTTGAGTAATGTTGGGGATCTTGTGGACCTCCGAAACCACCTTGGAGCCGCGCGTTGTCAACGCATTGGAACTCCAGAAGAGAATGGAAACGCAATCGGAACCTCAGGGGTCCACGACATACCCTGCACTCCTGGAGGTAGTGTGTGGACACTCTGGCGGCCTCTTGGGGGTCTCTTGGGGCCTCTCCGTAGTGCTGGGAGCTTCCTTGGGGAGCCTGGAGGTGCCTGGCGGCTCCCAGGACCCTGGAGGAGATGGAGGAGGAGGAGGAGGAGGAGGAGGAGGAGGGAGGGAGGAAGGGAGGGAGGGAGGGAGGGAGGAGGAGGAGGAGGATAGGATAGGACTCGGCCTTGCGCGTGTGCTGGGGTGGCGCAGCTCTACACCTGGTGTGATACGCGCGCAGGACTACAACCTCAAACGATCGCATATTTGCTATACGAAGTTACGGGTTACGCGCGCCGTGCAGCACTCGACAGATGTGTACCGGGGCTGTTCGCAATATTCAGTGTCACGCGCGGGCTGGGGGGGGACAACCCTCTGGCCCCGAGGGGGCCGAAAACTCGCGGCACTGTGTGTGCCAGGCGGGCTCCCGAGGCATCCACCCAGCACAGGAAAACAAGAACAAACAAATCGGATCAGACGCCCCCCCGCGGGGCCCGCACAAAACCTGACTCTCGGGCCCCGCAGGCGCCCGATAGGCAGCCGTCGGGGCGGGCCCTCAGAGGGCGTCGAACCGAGGTGAGAAGGGAGTCGACTGTACTGAAGCGCAAGGCGAAGCGGACACACCCGCCTGATCGGACACGGCGGGCGGGGCTTCAAAGAAGAAGTGATGGGAGCTCACGAACCCGCTCACGTCCATTACCATGCCCAACGCGGCGAAAGGGCCCAGAGCAGGAGGTTACGATCTGGGTCCCCGAGGCCTGCCGTGGAGGTCAGCTGGGCGCGGCCGGGATCCGCGAGCAACCAGCTCACGAACAGCATGAATACAACATATCCCGTTGAAAAGAGGAGTTGCACACAGCATCCGTCATCCTGCGACGTGGCAACGACAAAACCCAAGCCGAGCTTAGGATTTAGAAGCCGTCTTTTTTGCTGCGATACGGGCTCTCAACGCCGCCAGACGTGTCTGCCGGGCGTCTGGGTTCATGCAGTTGTCTTGCCTTTGCCCTTGCCGCCCAGCTTGTGCTTGTCCAGCATCTTCTGCGCTAGGTTCTCTAGATGACCTGCGGCGCCGTGCCCTGCTTCAGAGTTCCCCCCATGCCCCTGAGCAGCACCACCGTCGCATGTTCGATCATCAGCTTGGAGTAGGTCACGGGGTCGCTTCCGTCGCTCTGGAGCTGGAACCCGTCCACAATGGCGAATTGAAGTCGTGCCATGTCCTCGTTGTAGCACTTCTTGCAGCGGAAGTGTCGGATCGATAATCCGAGCTCCTGCATCCGTCCGCTCAGCATGAACTTGGCGTAGAACAGGCGTATCACATCCAGCGCCTCTCCTCCAATATTGAGACTCGGTTCTGCGCCCACCAAACATTTGAACCCTGCGCGCGCAATGTCTAAATTTGGTGGCCCCAGCTTGCCCTTCACGTTGGGGAGCCCAGTTGCCTCTGCGCAAAGCTTTCCAGCGGCCCTGGAAGCCTCGATAATCGGCGAGCTTGTCGGAAGAATCACGCTGACCCAGACCACCGCCGCCAGGTCGCGAAGGAGCTGCGAGTGCATGCAGAAGCCTTTTAGGAGGAGGGACAGCGCCACTGCAACGTCTTTTCCGCGGAGCGCGTTCTCCACTTGGTTCAATGTGTCCTCGGCTTCGTCTGCTGCCTCTGCCACCTTGCGCCCCTTGGGTCCGCGTGCTCCACCTTCGCCACCAGGGGCTTCTTTGCGTCTGCCGAGCTCGGTCAGCGCGCTGAGGTCCATCATGTCGACGCCCTGCCCCGATCCCGCCGCCTGCGACGCGCAGCCGACTGTGTCTAACTTCAGGCTGAGGCGCGGAACAATGAGAGCGAATCTGTACTTGAAGCTCATAAAGGCTTTGAGCCCCATGACTACATACAGGACAGTGAAGTTCGCTGGGGAGCTGGACATCTTGCGCCAAGAAAGAGCTCCTCCCCCGACTGCGTATATTTCGTTTGAACGACCTCATGACGTGCCTCTCCGCGTTCTCTTTTGTGCTCAGGACTTGTAGGCATCTAAAACACTGGTTGGTCACCGTCAATAGTGCAGCTTCGTTTCGAGCGCGGTGGACCCGACCAGCATGAAGGAGGAGCGCCTTCATGGCGCTGAACTTTTCGTTACACTCGGCGCTCGTGGCGAGCACCACGTTGCAGACGAACTGGCCCTCAGGGGCCATCTCCCCCTCGGTCTCAGGAACATCAGGAGCCCCAGGAAAGTGTTCTGGAGGGGCAAACGTCTTAGAGCAGGCCTCAGCCCGCAGGATCGTGAAGTCCACGAAGGCCCAGCCCCTAAACTCGTCAATGTAAAGCAGCTTCAGCAAGGGGTTACCCGAGGGGACTAGCATGTAGAAGTCCTCACAAGGTTCGTGGGTGTACCTAAGGTCCTCCAGGATCTGCCTTGCCCAAGGGTTGACCTTCGGGTGGAGGGCCCAGTCGGGATTGATCGTGTCGACACTCCCCATGGACCCCAGTATACACGCTCTGACCTGACGATGTGCCTCTGGAAAGCGGGCCCAACTCTGGAGCCAACCAAGACGACGCACCCGTAGTTCCTCTGAAGCCGACAATATCTTACAATACCCCCAGGCATTTGTTGATGGCCATCTGCGGATCTCCCCGTCGTCGCCCTTGGTGGTCCCCTGGAGGCCTAGACCCCGACTCATGGCGAGAAGCAGCACCCTGTCCGCCTGCTCGCAATAGGAGGCGTCAGGGACGCGCGCCTCCATGCTCGGGATGAGAGCAGCCTGAACGAACGAGATGCTCGCCATCCTCTTGATGGCACGAGCGGCGGGCTCGACCAAGAAGCAAGATGTGGGCCCCAGACCGTTTTCCCCAGCTTGGACGCGCCTCGTCTTTGCCATGGCCAGGGGCCC